CTTTGGACCAGAAATAACAGCTTGTAAGTGATACTCTCCGCGCAGTAATCAAATATTGACAATAAATATTGTCAAACAACAGCCTTCCTTTGGGCCAACTATTGTTCACATGGAAAACTTTATAATTGTCATATATTTATTACCACAGGTACACCCATTAGTTGGCCAAATGATAACATTCCTTTGGGCCAATCATTATTCATATAAATAATAGGTATACGCATCTTTATAATCTAAAATAAATTAACATCCACAACAGAGGTTACTTTGGCAACAATATTATTTCAATCAATTTATTTCAAAATACAAGACAATTAAGTGCAATAATGATTAAATAAAACAAAACAAAGAACCATAATTTTATTTTATTCAATCAAATCCTTAAATTCTTTTAATTAATTTACACTTAATTTCTTAATGGGTTAAAATTGTCCAAATGCCCAAAATCTCTAAAATTGGGTTAAAAATGAACCCAGAATTGCCAAAATTCTCTCCCTTATGGCCGCAGGTATTACCTGTGGCCTTTTCACTGAGTCACAGGCCCAGTGAGGCCTGTGTCTACCTTTTCTCTCAAGGCCCCAAATGGGCCCGTGTAATTTTTTTTGGCAGCTTTAGGCCGAAGCCCAGACCTGCTTCAACCCTAGGGTCATGACCCTTGACTAGATGTGCCGGCCGTCAAGCCGCCACTGCATGCAGCCGCAGTGGTACACCGCGCCTGTCCTGTCACTGGCGCGGCCATGAGGCTGCGTTCGGTCATCCACCGTGCCGATGGCGGCATATGCTGCCGCTGGCCATAGTTTTTTTAAATTTTCCTTATGCGGCGGCCAAGCTAGTAGGCCGCGGCTAGCCTGTCGGTGCGACCCAATGGCCACGCCCTAGTTTCCTCAACGCCGGCGGCCAAGGCTGCTGCTGGCCACAAACTTTAATCCTAAAATTTTTCCGGCAAACCCTTTTTTTAAAAAAAAATTTCTTTACCAAATTTCCTTAATGCTTAATTTTCCAGAAAATCAAATTTTGTGAATAACAATTAATTCAAAAATTATTTAACAAATTTTGATCAAAATCAATCACCAAAAAATCATATGATTATCAATATACATGCTTTTCTCAACAAAATAAAGCATATCGAATATTCCATACACAAAAGAGAAATCATATGAATCAATCAATATAATATTCAACTAGAGATATTGGAGATGTAAATTCTCTCAATAATGTAATGTGATGACTGGTTTGATACCACTTGTTGAACTGTAATCCTTATTACATATTTCAGGAATCATCACACCAAATTACTAAGAAAATAGGTTAGAACAAATGCATGTCTCCATTGGTGCAGCCTTAATCTCCAGCAGAAATCTCTATGACAACGAGCACGTCGAGTTATTGTCTTCCTTAATCAAATCACAAGATTCTTGAATTGGTGTTCTCTCTCTAGATGGGGAAGAGGGAAAACAACCGAATGATTTGAAGTATTGGGGACTATAACCTAAGTTTATTTATATACTGTCCTATTAGGCTCATATTAAATCTAATTGAGTCAATATTGAATATCCACTCATTTAGCCTATACTCAGTTAAGAGACTATTTAGGCTCTTTATAATTAGACCACTTAATTTATCTAATTAATTAAACAGTATCAATATAATTGTTATAAATATGTGGCCCACAATTATTATTAAGAAACATAATTTCCTAACAGAGTTGATGAACATCATGAGTAATCTACCCATTTTTTTTTTCTTGTTTGGACTTTCGAGGGAATAAGTTGGTTAGTTTAGTTTGGACAATTTTGATCTGTGTTGTGATCAGAAAATCTTTTCATAAAATATATGGAAGATGGTTTTCATTAAATAAGGATGAAATTAGAAATTTTACGAGTTAAGAAAATTATAAATTCTATTATTAATTATACAAACAATATTATAATTTTTCTTATGATCAAATGTGAGTACAGCTAAAATTTCATATAAACTTTCTCGTATAAAAGTTAAAATCTTAAAATTACAGCATATGCAATTTTTTTAATTCAAGGTCACGGTCTTTCTGTGAAATTTGACTACTAAAGCGGGTGTTATTTGTTATTTGTTCTTTTTTTCTTTTCTTTTTTTTTTTTTTTTTTTTTTTTTTTTTTTTTTTTTTTTTTTTTTTTTTTTTTTTTTTTTTTTTCTATGCTAGTATATTTTTCAAAAATTTAGAGGGTTTAGATGTAATTTCTCTCATAAAATAATGCGTACAGGTGCCAACATAATGTCTGGGAATCAACACATGCTAAAATATCATGCACAGCGTTTCATTGAATGAATTTCCGACTTTTTTTGTTGTTGTTGTTGTTGGATAAATGAATGCGTCTGATCAAGATAGAAGCATAGACAGGAAGTAAGCTGGAAAAAAAGACATAAAATATCCAAAAAGATGACGCATTTCTGGTTCATTTTCTTTGAAGGACCACCAAACTCTCCCAAAAATACTGCCACTTGTGAAGGGGAAGTTGGAATATGGCTGAAACGAATTAAATGATCCAATCTTCAAAAGAGATCAGTAATCTGATGGGTTATTCGCTGTTTGCGGTACTAGTAAGCGAATGTTTTGAAACTATAATTAACATGCTTTACATGTCCTGCGCAGAAGCGTATCAGCTGTCATATTTCATGTCCCGAAAAATGCATTACATATATAGAGCATGCTCTTCCAAATTGACTGTATGACCCAGCCACAATTGACCAAAATTTCGCCCTATTTAGAGGATCAAACTCAAAGGGTGAGTATGATAGCCAGTGAACTTGCAGTTTACATTACATGTATATGAAACTTTCTTAAAAGAAAATGGAGAATTCTTTAGTAGAATATGAAAAAAGAAATATCATGTTGGTAGAGCATGATTTTATTGTCGGACTTGCATCAAGTTTTTGTTTAATAGTCATACTTTTCTTTATTTGATATGATTCTAATATGACATGACAGTTAAAAACTATAATTTAATGGTAGATTTTTTTAATAATATAGCACAAAATTCTCTAAATTATGTTTTCATTGTAGAAAGTAGTGACATGATATTATTATTTGTGCAAAATATTAATATTATTGTTCTCTTAACATCAAATTAATACGTTTCACTTGCATATGCAATTATTAGCCTATTAGAAATCTTAATTAATTATAATGTAAAACAAAACTCTTCAAAAGTTAGCTTAAAATTAATGTTAGTAAACCCTACTCAAATCATATCATGTGATCCGATTTATAGCGTGGAGCTATAACTAGAAATGTTATAATTTGCTTTAAATATAGTTGCATCCATACTCACTCCCAATACACGTCTTAGAATGTATAGAAATGGCAAATAATAATGTTTCGGCTAAAATTTATTTATTTATGTTTGTTGGGACCTGCAGGCAAATAAACAGAACAAATGATTCAGTTCCTGCACCGAACAGTAATATTTGCATCTTTATTTATGTTCTACGAATTTAATGCTGCTTGCACGAGTTGATCTGTACTTCTATTAATAAAACTCAAATTTACATAACAGTGATAGTGATGTTGGGCTGACTTAACACATTTTGTAATTCCAACAAACCACGATTGTTTAATTGAAGAAATAAAATTTTGCAAAGTTTGTTGTCGGGATAGCAAATAGTAAGCATTTCTAAATGGTACTAGTATTGTTGCTTATAATTAGTTGTCTAATTGTTCATTGACTTTGTTAATTAAAGATTAATGGACCAATTCTCTTCAATTGCAAAGATAATGAACATACTTCTCATATTGTGTCTCTGCTTTTTCTCTAACTATACGAACAAGAAAAACACAGTTGATTGTGAAGTAATGTAACTAACTAAATTATGTTTCTTTAAGCACAAGAATACTCTATTTTTGGTTTTGCTCGTGATCTCATCTAAAAATTTGGGAAAAAGTGTAGTTCTTTCTTTCGTCCTACCTTTTCCTTTTCCTCTTTGAAGGTCCAAAAATAAGAAATGATGTCACCATCCCCACACTTTTCGTCTATTTATGAGATAGGCATTAGGCATAGAGAATACCTACTCTTCGAAAATAACATTAATAAATTAGCTACACATCACTTGTCTTGTTTCCGCAATAAATGACGTTTGAATGGTTGATACTCATGTTGTGAGTTAAAAAAAGAAAACAATATTTACCTTTTTATACAACGTGTTTTAATTTTATTTAAAAATTATACATTCGATTACTATTATCTCACTAAATACACAAATCTACACTTTATTTTGACCAATAATTCATTTTGGTCTTTAAAACTATCAAATCATCCTTAAGAAAAAGATAAGAATAAAACACTAAAAACTCTCAAAATTTAGGAAAAAAACACATAAAAAAAATATTTTGAGGGCCTTTTAGATATTTTTTAAAGGGAGAAAGAGAAAAATAAGTCAAAATTTGAGATGAATTAAAATTAATAGGCCAATAGTTTACATAAGTTAATAAATAGGCTAAATTACTATTTTCGTCCATAACTTGTCTGGTTATGAACCATAACTTGACAAGTTATTGTCCATAACATATCTAGTTATGAACCATAACTTAACAAGTTTGTCCATAATTTATTTGATTATGAACCATAACTTAATAAGTTATGGCCTATTAATTTTTATAGTTAAAAATTGACTTATATACTTTCTTAAGCTTTTCATATTGACTTATTTTTTACTATTTTTGTTTTTTAAATTCAAAATAATAAGTTAAAAGTTGCATATATGTGTGTGTATTTTCTGATATTTTTGAGTTAAAATCACGAGGTGCACCATAAAAAGGCATAGATTGATATATTAAATTTAATATGAAGGTGTATATTTCATAAGATAAAAAAAGGTACGGTTTTCTAACAAATTTAAAAACACATGATATGAGAAGGTAAATATTCTAAACGAAAAACAGAGCAGGCATTGACTGTTCGACTTTTATAAATGTTGTCAGATTATTTAATAACACGGAAAATGTTGAAAATAGAAAATAAAGAAGCCAACTATTAATAATTTTTGCTTCTTTCTAATACTTATTTAAACAGAGGGTACTCACCAAGACAAGACCTGGGAGAAACAAAAGCTTCTGGCAAAAAGGAGAAACAGAGATATTATATATAATAGTGTTGGAGCAAAAACAAGCAAATTTATTAAAAAAAAAAAAAAAAAAAAACTGTTTGCTGAGAGCTCAACATGAAAGACTTCTTCTTCGTAATTCTTTGTGTGTGTTTGCTGCTGATCTTTACAGAAATAGAAGCGAGAGTTAAATTACCAGGAAACGCGACTGTGCCTGCGGTTATAGTGTTCGGGGATTCAATAGTTGATACGGGCAATAACAACAACAATGTCCTTTCTCTTGCGAGGTCCAATTTCCCTCCTTATGGCCGTGACTTCAAAGGAGGAGTTCCCACCGGACGATATTCCAACGGCAAGGTCCCTTCCGACCTATTAGGTTTGCAGATTTTCCAAAATCTCTCTTTTTATTTCGTCAATTCAAAAAAAAAAAAAAGATCAGTAAATCAAAAATATAATCATTAAAAACTCGTATATATATATATTTATATTTACATTATATTATAGACTTGAGTTAGGTTTTCATGTTGGGCACTTCAAATGAAATCCATTATTGAAACTCTTTTTCCGTGTTCTTTTGATACCATTTTTGCAGTTTTTCTGTATTTTTTTTTTTTTAGCCAATGGGCACTTGAAAATGACATGTACATGGCTAAAAGTCTTCCTTGGTTTGGACCATTCACACTGTTTTACATGTGGTTAGCGCTTTTATTGATTGCTTGGTCATATGGGCACTTGGATTTGGTCCGAGATTCAGGGTGCATGTATGAAGCCTGCAAAAATAAGGAAAGACGATTTATTTCACTCGTGGTCTTTAAACCCTGATGAAAATATCATTTTAATGTTTACAAATTTGCATTCGGAAAAAAAATTGTCCTTAAATGTTAGCAATAAAATTCTCGTTTTAGTTCATAGATTTTCAGTAAAAATCTCTGTTTAGGTTCAATATGTTGATATAAAGTTTTTTAACTGTAGCTACCTAAGAACTATTTAGGTGCATTTTCTTATTTAATGATTCAAACATAAATTCTGAAGTCGAACTTAGTTAAAAAAAAAAGAAAAAAAAATCAGAGGACTGCATTTCTATGTGCGTTAGACACAACTTTTTTAATTTAGAGACATAAAATCAGAGAAATTTTGCTCAAAGTTCATCAACTAATGCTGGAATTAATAGAAGTACATATTTTTGGATTTCGGATTACGTGTAAATTTGAATCTTATAAATGCTTGCACCAAAACAATACCCAGAGTGAACAGCAAAAAAAAAAAAAAACAAAAAAAACCCAGAGCAAATAGCTAGCTTAATCTGATTACGTGTAAATTCCAACCTTAAAAATGTTGCACGAAACAATACGCAGAGGAAATATCTGGCTTAATCTGTCCTCGTTACTACTTCTATGAAAATGCAACAAAAGATTGTGACATGTACTAATGCTTTAAAAGAGGTGGGACATGCTTTTACTTGGATTCTTACTAAAATACACATGCTATAGTTATTATTACAAACTTTTTGAAGGAAATATTATTTTTTACAATTACAAGCTTAAGTACTTATCTGCTTTGCTAAAGGTGGTCCCTCTTCCATTGAAATAAAATTTTATTCCTTCTTTTTTTTTTTCCTCTTTTAAGTGAAGGAAAAGGTCCCTTTTTTTCCCCATTTTCTTATTCCATTTCCCTATTTGTTTAGCACTTGTCTACATTTTTTCTTAATTTTCGACTTATGACGTTAATTACTTTGGGAATTATGTATTTAACCATTTTGCATACCTCTCTAACCTGGATTAATTGAATTTCACTCTTTTTCTTTTTTTTTTTTTATGGTGTGTGCCCATATGACTACTATTGTAACAAAAAAGAAATGAAACTATAAAGATTCCTATGTTAAATCACACATTTACACTGATGCAGAGATTTAGTTATTAGTAGTCTTTTTTTTTATATATATTTTCTTTATCGTTTGTTTTTGTTTATTAATTTAGCTTTGTAATTCATTATTAGTTTGTCATTTATATTATTGGTTATTTTGTTATTATTTAGTGTGTGATCTATAAATAGTAATAGGAATACTTGAATATTTGATAATTGAATACTAGAATTGTGTTTTATCTCTAAATTTGGGATTTTCTCTTTTTGAGACTCTTTTAGATAGATTTAAAATTTTATATCAATCTTCCGTTTGAATTAGGCTGGTAAAATTTTATACTATATGTCATGGGGGAAAATATGGAGGACACGTGGAGGAAGGATAACATGACACGTGACCTTAACCTCTCCTCGCAAAGCAGAACCCTCGACGTCTGGGACCCCCTTCCCTTCCGTCGTTTAGAGCCCGAGTAAGAAGCCCAACTTAGGGCGTCGATTTTATTTGATGTCGACAGGTCGTACCGTCGACCTTACAACATAGAAGTCCACCGCCAAGAAGAACAATTGGGCTAAACAACACTGGCGACCAGGGGAATGCTCCTTGAGGGAAAGCCTGACGTGGCAAGCTGTGTAAGGGATGTCCACAGTACAGGCATTAAATGCAAACCCTTAAACTGCCCCTACGGGGGACAGAAAAGGGTTACAGCTGTGCACAGAGCCGTAATAGGAGACTAATTGGCTGAGTGAACAGTGTGCAAAAAGTGATTAGTTGGCTACGGGCTGGGCCTAGAAAGGCAGACCACTTGAGTGCTTGTTCAGCCTACATGAGAAAACCCCTCCAACGAAGGAAGCTCGGCTATAAAAGGAGAGAAACCTCATACGGAAAGGAGGTTGATCTTTTCTGAGAAAGAAAGAACGAAAGAGCATATTGTAAATTGTAACAATCTCAAAAAGGAATAACAAACCACAGTGGATGTAGCTCTTTATTTCATAAGAGTGAACTACTATAAATCTTGTGCGTTTTCCTACTTTAAGTATTTTTTCTTATATTGCCTACTACACAAAAAATACCGCAAGCACATCAAACTCCTACATATAACCTATTTTTAAGCCGGTAATCCAACGGGAAACCCAGAGGTAAACCGGCCTGTTTTTGTTGGCGAAAATTCACCGTCAACAACTGGCGACTCCACTGGGGATGAACGCGTTTGACCCCCAACAACAACAACATAGTCGGCAAGCATGCCTCCAAGAAGAAGAATTGAGGCCAACAACCAAGGCAGCCAGATGGACGAGACCGCCACTCACCCGATGAATGACGGGGTGGAGGAGGTTCCACCCCTGGTCAGAAACGAGGTCCCGCCCCTAGACGTGCTGCGGCCGGATCCTGTGCAGATGCAGGCCCAACTAGCCACTCTAACCGATCTGGTACGTGGACTAATGACCGTGGTCGAACTCTTGGATGGAAGAAACTCTATGCCACCTCTAGAAGACGCCCCGAGACCGCTGGGACCTACCATGGCTGAAAACCCCAACCCTGGTGACCACCCACATATCTTAGAAGAGATCGGGGATAGTGATAATCAAAGGGGCCAGCCCAGGCCCCGACCTTCCCAATCCTCCGGCGGCCGTTTAAGGGCCTCCGGACTCCTGAGGACCCGATACCAAGAGGCCGGGGAAACCCCGAGGTACTACCCCAGAACCCAGGAAGAAACCCACCGGGAGACTCAGGGTCAGTACAGGCGGGCAGGCAGGCAAGAGGCGGACCCAACGGTCAAAGGGCAGAGGCGTCGAGCGTAGCTGGCTTAGCCATCTCAACAGAGGAGGCGCGCGCCCTCATGGAGCGCATGGCCAGCCTGGAGCAAAAACTCACAGGGGACGTAGCGGTTCTGAAAAAGAACATAGGGCGAGTGGCTGAGGTGGTAAACGTCGACATCACACTTAGCCACACATATGACCACCCATTTACCGAAGAGATAATGGCGCCACCTCTCCCCGATAAATACTGGTCGCCGTCGATCCCACCATATGATGGTCGAGGGGATCCTGACGATTACTTAAAAATGTACACGGGGCACATGCTCTTACATGGGTATGCCGAGGAAATTATGTGCCGAGCCTTCTGGAACCATTTGACGGACTCTGCCCGAAGATGGTTTCGGACGCTGAGGCCAAACTCTATCTCGAGCTGGGATGAGCGGAAGGAAGCATTTTCCCTCCAATTCATAGGGGTTAAAAAATATGTCCCCCCGAAGCAGAACCTCACGACGATAGACCAAAAGCCGAACGAGTCATTGAGAGAATGGCTTGCGAGGTATGGGGAAGCTGTCGCCGCCACGATGGATATAACTGACAGAGAGGCCTTAATGGGGGCATTGTCCAGTATGAAGAAGATTACCCCCTTCAAGAGAGAGTTGAACCGAAAGCCCCCGTCCAGCTACAAGGAATTTCATGTGCGAGCGCAAGGATACATCAAGGCCGATGAGGTAGACGCAAACGACCACGAGCACAGGTCCAACAAGAACAAAGGGACCGAACAAGTCGACGCCAGCAAAGCAGGATGGGAAGAAGCGTCGAGGTGGAGGAAGCGGAGACAAGCAGCCAGCTGCGACGTCGAACGCTCCGGAAGAGGAAAATCGTAAGCCTCGGCTGTTTCAAAGGTACGATTCCTACCATGAATTGACAGTAGGAGCCGAGGAAGTCTTCAATCAGGTCGGCCGTGGAAATCTACTGCGCCGCCCAGAGCCAATGAGGACAGATCCCAGCCGAAAGAACTAGAAGAAATTCTACAGGTTCCACGGCGATGTTGGCCACCACACCAACGATTGCGTAGACCTCAAGGATGAAATCGAGAGAGTAATCCGCGAGGGGAGGCTACAGGAATTCAAAGCTGAGCGAAGACCTTGAAACGATGGCCATGGTGGGCAGAACGGCGGTCGACGCTGAAAGGAGAACCAACGTCCCAAGGACCGAGAACCTGTCGGCATCATACGGACTATCCTCGGTGGCCCCTATATAGGAGGAGACTCAAGGAGATCCCAGAAGGATTACGCCCATGAGGCCAGAGGGGTTTACCAGGAAAGATTCTGGAGTGTCTCTACCGTAAAAACCGCACGATATAGCAGTGCCGACGTGACGTTTAATAAGGACGATGCCAGCGGAGTTCACTTCCCCCACAACGATACATTAGTAGTGGAAGCCATGATTGAGAACCACACTGTATGCCGAATCCTGGTAGACAATGGGAACTCGGTGGACCTCTTTTTCTCCGACTACTTGGAAAAGATGGGGATCCGAAAGGAGCAGTTGGAGAAGACCTCTAGGCCAGTATACGGTTTCACCGGGGACTCCGTCATTCCTCAGGAGACTATCCGGTTGCCCATAACCGCCGGAGAAAAATCCTGATAGACCATGACAATAGCCAACTTTGTGGTAATAAAGGGGGGCTCTTAGTACAATGCTGTAATCGGGAGACCGACCCTTCAGGCGCTGAGGGCAATAACCTCCGTCTACCAC